AGAAGGAACAACGAGCAGCCATCCAAGATCACAGTATGGCACTGCTAATTCACTAGCAAGAAACAGAACAGTACAAATAGTTGGTTTGGGAATATTTTGGCTGCTTAGCAGTAGGTTCACTTTAAAAATGAATTCATCTGTGGAAGAATACAGGAGGTAGCCTTTAACTGCATCTGCTTGATACTAGAGAGTATCACAAAACCACCTTTTGTAGTGATCTGGCCAAGCCATTACATTCATATTAACACTTCAGGCAAAGAAACAACACAGAAAAAGCAACTAACACACACTAAATGAGATAAAACTGATTAGGTGCCACACCAAGCACACACAACACCTCCCTCCCCAACTTTCAGATTAAAACCATCTCAATTGAATGCATCTTTCCAGTCATTAACCCTCAGAAACAGGAGGCAAAATTTGCTGTTCTGCATCCTAACGTTAAACAATGGGGCTGGAGTTTAGGTCTCTCCTGTTTCCAAGGGTTACAGAAGCGAAACGCAACAACTGATGGAGAGGAGATCGATGGCTGTCTCATGCGGGCAATCAGAGAGACAACACTATTTCTTAGTTCAGAGCACTGAAACATTCACTGCACTCAACAATCTCACACCCATGGAAGGACAGAGAGCAAGACGTTGCAACTTGGATCCCAAACCCCTAATATTCCACTAATTTTGCCACACAGACCGGTTCTTCATATGACACAAGAATCAGATGTTGGAAAAAGCACAGAATACATGTGACAACTGCAGCTGATAGTATGGATATTACATTAATGCTATAACTTATCTAACAGTGATATCAAAGATTGGCATTTAAACATTGCACAGATAACAAGCACATGGATGGCTTAAAACCTGTCCTTGTATCTTTACAGTGTGGGAGAAATGTGCATAAAGAAGGAAGAAATACTTTATAAACTCAGATGAACCCTAAATACTTCCACTGTAATAAAGCAACTGTGCCCTTGGATTCATTCTATGATGCAAACAGAAAGTATAACAACATTTAAAACCCAAAGCTCGTATCTCAATACTGGAAAATATGGCAGTATTCCAAAAAGCAAGAACAACAAGGAATGGCATCCACAGCATTTCAGTATTTGCTATAGATAGCACTATTTACAGTATGTCAAACAGCTACAGCAGATGCAAAAAAGAAGTAAGTCTTACAGTAAAAAGGGAGTTTAAAAACAAAATAATCAGTGCAATTACCTTCTACTTGAAGTTTTCCTTAGAAAAGACTGCATGTATGCATCAAGAAGCATGTTACCAAATGTAATAGAAAAGTAATAAAACAATGTACTGCCCTGCATTAGAAATTGAGAAAGCCACACTGGCAGGATCAATACACAATAAGAGATGCTACTGTAGGAGAAAAGTATTAAAAAACTAGGAAAAGAATGTGATTTTATTACATTGGTATCAAGTGTGAAAAATACTGATGAGAACTTTCCTTACATTCCTTTAGTTTATGTGTAAAAGAGCTCTTAAAAAAGAAAGAAGTTCCTTTGGGCTATTTATGCCACCAGATGCTCAACTTGGTTACATCCAGAGGCAAATGTGTCTATCTCAATCTCCAAAGGTCCCAGTGCTGCATTTCTAGTACTTGTGGTCTTGAATAAGCATGAAACAACCTGTTCACACTTCAAATACCAACATTCTTCCTCAAAAAGAAACAGGTACAGTAAAATAACCCTACAACAACCCATTCTATTTGGCTGGGGGATGTTAACACAGACCTTCCTCCTGCCCTTGCTCTCAGTTAAATTCCAGTGATTCGCTGGCATAAGAAATGTTGGGGGTTCTACAGGGGAGGTGCAGATGACCACCGTATTCGAGGAACCTACCGCTGCAGTAAGGACAGCAGCACTGGCAACAAGGTGCAAAGCCCTCCTGATTTTCTGCTGAACAGAAAGCCTTTGTGCATGTACATCTGACTTGAGATAACAGCTTCAGAAGCCTCTCAACTCAATTAGAAACTTCAGTCATTTCAGAAGGCAAGTGGGCACACAAGAACCTACCCTTCAGGAGCTGAAATGTAGAAATCCTTTTGGAAATACGATCTCTTTGTCTTACTTATAAAAGTGATCCACTAAGATGTGAGCAAGTTAAAAATGGGCAAGGGCCATGGGAATTACTGAGAGAGTCAGAACTGAAGTTAAACCTTCACAACCTTTTTGCTTTTACAATCAGGACACATTGCCTGGGGGCCTGGATGAAGTATTTGTTATGGATTATGGAAGTATTTATTAGGATTTCTTGTTTTAAGCATAAACTGCCCGTAAATTCTCCACACTGGCTCCAGCAGATTAAGACACACCTTTCCCTAACAATTGCAGCAAACAACAAACTCACCCAAAACCCAACAGATCTAGAAAGGAGGAAGTTCATGTGCCAGAGCTTTGGAAAGATGGAAGATCATTGATTGTGATTCAGCAAGCCAAATACGACTGCTGAAACAATCTAAACCAAACCAAGCCAAAATAAGGAGTTCTAACAAAAACAAGTGATCTCACGCCATACATCAGTGCATAGACACACACTAGAAGTGATAAGATTGCATAGGGCTATCTTGAATGCCAAACTCATATAAACACAGAGGCAAATCCACCTACTTTCAGCATTTCACAACAATACATTTCCTCCTAAGGATCAACTCAGGTGTTCCCTGGTGCTAGAAGAGGTGGACACTTTATTCTTCTGTTCAGCCACAGGAACAGAAAGTTCCAAACCCAAGCAAACAATTATTGTGTAATGTTTTGCACGTAATATAAAAGTAATGATGAAAAGGACAATTTTTAAGTATTTTATGTTTGTTGATACTATTTTTCACCTCCCAAAGAGCAACTGCTCTTGCCACAGAACCCCATGCTTCAGAAAGGCTCTTTTAGAGATGTCTGGTCCAGCCACATGCCCAAAGCAGGTCCAGCGAGCTGAGACTGTGCCAGGACCCATCCAGCCAAGTCTGAGCCTCTCTGAAGACAGATTCCACAACCAATTTTCAATCTTGGAATATTTTTTGTTTCAACAGTGTTACCATTTCCATGAAAACCAGAATCAGAGAAAACTAAACCCAGAGCAGGCACTCAGTTCATCTCTCAAGCACATTCCTTTAAAACTCAAGAAATGGCATGGTACTGGCAGTGATCAGTTTATCCATCACACTGCTCACACCTGCATGGGAAATAAGGTGGTTTTGTCACTTCTAAGCACCAGGACAACCCGCATCAGTGGCTGAACTCAAGGACAAGGTCATTGCCAGGAACATAAAGAGCAGGAGGAAGGCAAGGGATGAGGTCCTGCTCAGCAATCTCTTACAATGGAAGTCATGCAAGGGATGATTAAAACCCCATCTGCCAGAGGGTAACGCACATTTGGTTATTGCTGACCTGAACTGCATAGTGACTTAGTGGTTAACTACCTCAGCTGCAACTTCAACAGCAGGAATGTGTGTGAGAGACATCTTGAGCTGTATGTTTACCTGAGATATTGCTGTTCTTACAAGACACATGGGAGGTAAGAAAGAAAAAGACCCTAACAGTATGGGTTTAGGTGCTCTGGTAGGGTTTCTTGACAGGAGACACTTTTGAATATGTAATTTATACTAAAAGTGTTCCCAAAAAGGTAGCTGCTGGACTTAGAGCACATTGTATTTTTCAGAGTATAAACTTTTATCAATATGTTTTTAGAAAAAGGCTTTAAATTATCCACTAATTCACCACTTGCAGGGGAAGGAGGAGAGAGGAAAGGAGGGAGAAATAAAGCCATAAAGAATTAGCAGTATTAAGAGGATTAAAACAATTGTAAAAGGTAAAAATGTGCTTAGCCTGAAATGCACAGAACCATCCCAAGTTCTTCATGCTCAGGGAAGGAAAGCTACATAAAATTCCTTGTTTCCAAGAGCATACACAGACAATGGCTACTCTCAGATTAAGTGTCTGCCTAATACTTCTTTTCTCACAACAAGGAGCTGCAACAAGTATTCCAGCCCAAAGACTGCATCCTGAACAGGATGCAGCAAAGTCCACAGTCTGCTTGAGAGATAAGATTTGAGGTCAAGACAGATTCTGCCCTCCCCACTCCATCTGACCACCTGCATAAGCCATTTACTATTCCAGATCTGCACGGAGAGGGCAGAGAAGGAATTTCACATCCAAGAGGTCTCTGCATAACAAACATCAAATAAACTAAATGGAGTCTTAAAAGGGTTGATTTTTTTTCCTATTTGTTAAGAATAATTCATATAAAAAATAATTCTTATATAAAACTCTGCCAAATTAAAATCTTCACTGAAGTATGAAACCTCTCAAGCAAACGCACAGAGAAGTGCCACACATCCACCATGGAAAGGCTGGAACACAGAAAGACGGACAATGTGACCTGGAATTTGCTTTCTGTTATACCAGCATTTAAACTCTGGATTTACATTTAAAACCTGGATTTACATAACTATGACCAAGAAGAAAATCTGACCCAGCAGCCTAATCACCAAGTTAGAATAATACAATGAACCTATTAATAGGTTTTACAGTGTTATTTCACCTAAACAACACACAAGGTGAAGATCTGATCTTGCACAAAGTTATGTACCTAAAACTCTTTATGCAGCAAAGGTTGGGCATTTTCTAGCTTATTCAACAGCAACTGGTTAGAGTTTATCTGCTGTATGGCACAGACCTCTGTATTGGTTAAAGCTACTCGCCCGTTTGAGTGGCTAGAGGTAAATGTATTCAAAACAGTGACTGAGCATCTGCTGAGAGAGAAGGGAAAAGGTGAAGCAAAATGGATCAGTGGAAGAGAACGACGTGTAAAACCTGCCTCATAGCATGTTACTTCAGTTATCTAAGAAAATAAACAAAATCAAGTCAGCATAAACAAGTTCCTTGGGCTTCTTCCATTTTCTGCTTGTGGCATCATCATTAGTGCAATGGTTTACGTATGTATTATGGTTTGTTATGAATCCAGTGTGCAAACTAACAGAAGCGTTTGTCTAACAATGCTCAGTTTTAATTCCTGCTTCTCCTAAGAGAATGGCAAAACTCTCACATTTACTATTGACCTTATGCATAACGAAGAGAGTTTCATCTCCCTTCATAAGTAAACTTCAGTTTCCTAAGATTTCTCTTTACTGCATAGATACTGACTTCTGTCTCAATCACAGTGAGCCACTCTCCTCTACCAGAGGTCCTGCTTCACCAATACTCAACATATAAATAACATACAATTGGTTTGTGCTTGAATGAATGTAGAATGTTGGTCTTGTGTGCGTCTCTGAACTGCACAGGTACAACCTGCTGTGTCGCGTGCACGCTTAAAAAGCCTTTCTACAAGTTACAAGCTACACAATATACACTGCCTGGATCTCTGAACTCTCCCAAAGTTGATTGCATATTTTTGCACTTGAAGAGTAATGTCCCCATGATAACATTTTCATTTTCAAATCCAAAGCATTCTTGATATGTTAACAGAAGTATAATGAGCACTCCTTAGTAAATAAAAATAAATAATAGCATCTAGTCTATCACATTAATACTGTGAAACATATATAAAATTTACATTAACTCAAACAACAGTGAAAAAGGATTGTACTGTATTTCTCACCACAGACCCGTATTCTTTAAAGACTTTGGAAAGGTAAATGTCACAGTCCTGGATGACAAACCCTAACGTTAGCTGTCAGTGTGATTCTAAAAAACTCCTTACAAATCGGGTTTTCAATGGCACATTGTCTTTTGCCAATCCAAGTGGACCTATGAAAAGCTTAGGTATGAGTTCAGTCTTTGCTTTAAAATTCTTAAGTCTATGAAAAACATTTTCAAATGCAGCACAATAAAAAACATTCAAGAACAAGCTTCAGAAAATACATTTGCCCTTAGACACACAGAGCAGGATCTTTGTAAGACAGTGGAAAACCAGGATTTTGTCACTCTTTTCTTTTGAAAAATAACAATTTTGTAAATGCATCCAGAATAATCAAGGCTTCATCAAGAGTCCAAAAAATGCTTTGCTTTCCTTTGTATTAAAAGCTAATTCATGGTATTTTAGCCCAAACTTGAGTATGAATTAGATCTGTCCAAATTATTAAAAGCAATTCAATGAATAGCAAACTGAATGAGGAGGTTTGGGGGTTGCTTTTTTGTTTTTTTTTCCCTAAGCCCTGAGATCACAGCTCTTGATTCAATTATAAAATAAGGGTCTGTTTTATAGCAAGCAGCTTAGAGACTTTTGGCAAACCACATTTCTAACAATAGTGGGGTTTGGTACAAGAATGCAGTTCATAATCGAGTCTGAAATTCTGGACGGAAGGCTTGCTTGTAAATGGGAAAGGAAAAGAATTCAGATGCATCACTCATTGCTGGCTGTCACTGTAGCTTGGGCAACTGTTGGTCTAAGTGCAGCTGGTCTCATGTGAATCCAACTCTGTATTGTACTGAGTCGCTAAACATTAAAACATGTCAAGCAAAGTACATAGTGCGCAACGTGTCCTGATGAACTTGAACTGCTTTAGCAAGTGCTTGATGATCTCTGCCATTACTCTGACCGGAGGTGTGGCTTCCTTCAGCACTGCAAGAGATTGGGGGGGGGGGGGGGAACAAAAAGGTTGGAGGGAAGAGAAACCCTATTTAATCCCCCTGTCCTTGCATATGGTGGTGTTTCATTCATTTGTTCTGAATAGAATGGTCAGAAGTTAATTACCCTTAAAACACCACTGAGGTTCTGAAAGCAAAAGAAGCACAGAAGCAAATGGAACATTTGCCTTTTTCCACAGTTATCATTCAGTGGTAAGACCAAATCTACCCTCGAACTGCTGAGGATACTACTGACCCCAGAATTAGCAAGCCCACCTCCTTCCTGCTTCCTTTCCAATTCTGTTATAATTCAAAACTATGTAACTTACCTATCGTGTTCCTTATCCACCAGATGATACCGGGCTCTGAAGGCAACCAGATGAGCATAATATGCTGGTGCAGGGATGGAAACAGAACGAGTACAACGTACATACGTGTGACACAGCTGATAGGTGAGAATCTGCAGTTCATCTGAAGAGAAACGATTGTCATCCCAGAGGACATGGTAATGAGAAGGTCTGCTTGTTCCCTGAAGGCAGATCACACACAGGATGTCAGCATTTCAAACACAGCTCTTTACGTTCCCACCTCTGCAGGACAACTGCAGTAAAACCAGACCCTTCCTCAAAAATCATGTGTGAGCAATTCCACATCCTTCAGCAAAGTTTTGCTTTAAAAAGGCAAACCACCTCCCTCCTTGCCCCCCACAGAACTAATCCCTTTGCATTTCCAGATAGGATTGCGTTTTCAAGGATTTCATCCCTGTTACTGAAATTAAGTGATATTATGGAAGTGAGCTTTTGTCTTGTAAACTCAACTTTGACAAAAAGCCATCGTATAAAGTATCTTTAGGCAAAACATTAACAGCTCACAGCAATCTAACTTGTGACCCTGTTGACAGTCAAATTTTAAAACTCTGGATAAAAGCATATTCAGTACTGTTGCTGTTTAATAGCTTCTGCTCCTGACTGGGAAGTAGAAATCACAAGAAAACGTGAAATTACAATGGTACTATCTAAATGTAGTTGTTTCCTAGGAACCAGATGCACATTTTAAGTGATCTTAATGAAAGAGGCAGCTATGCAAGATAGTCCAACCACTTCCGACCATTCAAAGCAGTACACAGGAGAGAAGCACAATAAACTAAATGCGCAGGGTATGCTTTGTAACTACTTAGTTTCATCGTTTCTGTTAGACTTTAATCATGACAGAAGAGCACTGTGGATGGCACAGAAGCTGAAACACACACATGAAAGTTGTACCCTTTGTCTCCTGTGCAAAGAACACAGAAAATACCAACAACCAGTGTTTGAAGGTTACCATCCCACACAAAGTGCAGTACCTGAATACCAGCGTGACTACACAGGTAAAAGTCAAACTCGGATGGATGGGTGATTTTTGTGTCCACTGTGGTACCAGCTGGAATGTTTCCACTTTTTCCAACCTGTGTGAACAGAAAATGCCAAGACAATAAGGCACACACAGAGTTTGTCCTTTGCAGCTGCATAGTAAGGAAAAACCATGAGAAAACAAAAATAGTGAAAAGCAAAATGAAAAAAATGAGCAAAACTGAAATAACTGAAGTTTTGCTCAACTGAAAACTGGAATCTCTACTATGGAGGGGAAAAAGAGCTGCAAAACCTTCTTAGAAGTTAGAATCATAGAATAGAATCATAGAATAGTTAGGGTAGGAAAGGACCTTAAGATCATCCTGTTCCAACCTCCCTGCCATGGGGCAGGGACACCTCACACTAATCCATGTCACCCAAGGCTCTGTCCAACCTGGCCTTGAACACTGCCAGGGATGGAGCATTCACAACTTCCCTGGGCAACCCAATCCAGTGCCTCACCACCCTAACAGGAAAGAATTTCCTCCTTATATCCAATCTAAACTTCCCCTGTTTCAGTTTTAATCCACAGATTAGCTTTTCTGATTAATGTGAAAAGAATTTCATGCAACTCATATGTCAATTTCTTTCCATCTTCCTACCCCAGGACAGGTTATTCTCCTCTAACGTTTCTTGTTTATACCTGAAAGAGGACACCTGTAAGATAGGCCTCCTGTTCCCTCAAAACCACTTTACTTAAAAGCAGAACTTTATAATACTCTTTAAAATCAGCTTAACAACTGTTATCATAGTACGTTATCAATATAAAAACCACCTTCATGGCAGCATTTAAAGTTATTTTTGCCTTGAATCCTACTGGGCTTCAAATGCTCACAGAGAAGCCTGACAGAAGGAAGAACAACATGAAAAAACTCATCTGTGAAAAGAGGTTTGCCATTGGGAACTCTTCACTTACAGCAATGACTCCATCCCAGACTTGAGGAATCTCCTCTCCACCCAGAAAGGTGGAATCAAGTAATTCTACCTGTACCTCACACAGATACAGTAACAGCTGAGAAACACTCATGAAACCATTTGAGATTTTCAGTACTACAAATATTGTACTGGTACCAAAGGTGATACCAAAACAAACTCCACATGTCTGACATTAGACACCCAAGATACCTTAAAGGTAGCAATAATGGAAAAGAAAGTATGCTCAAAGTGTAGGGTTCACCTTACCTAATAATTTGTCTACTCTGCAGGTGTCTACAGCTGCTGGTAACCCAAGAGTAACTCTCTAGTCAACAGCAACCAAACCAGTGAACTCACTAGTGCTAGAATCACAAGAAATGTGCCTTAAAGCACAGTTGGAAATACTAGACAGATCTCCATTTGCAACAGAGTGCCTACAACTCCAGATGTAAACATCTGCATTATAAACCCTTCACTACTCAGATTAATCTCAACCCTTGAGGATCTTCAGACAGTAAAACTAAGGAAAAGAAGCCTGAAAACTGATAAACTTAAAGGCTGAACAGACTTGTTGAAAAGCAAATCCTGCTGATGGTTCATAAAAGTTTCTTAGCAGTTTATTATATGGGACACAAAATGAAGGTTTTCCTTTCCAGGTAAAAAGATTTTGCCCACTGTATTATGCAGCTCTTCAAACAAGTGTCTTACTACCCAAACATGGAGTAAGTAACAGGGAACTTGGCTGCCTGCTACATACTTGCTGGTCCCAATTAGAACATACCCGTTCATTTTTATCTGTACAGAAGAGTCTGGTGTGATGCCTTTTCTGCACAACTATGAAAGTAATTCCAGGCTGGTAATCCTTTTCTAGTTTAATGCATGCTTCTCTGATAGCCAGCAACTCATGATGGAGGACCTGAAACATAAACACAGGGATGCATGATAAATACGAAAGATAGTTATCTCTTACTCCTATTTATCTACAGATGACTCTTATTTATCATGTTCCTTTCTTCACTCAGAGTAATGAGATGTCAAAGCATGCAGCATCAAACTCTCATCTCTTCACTTAATGAGAACAAATTAAATCACCAGTTTCCTGAGCCAGGCAAAGAGCTGGTTCCATATTTGTTCAGCTCCAAGCACAAGGCTTGGACTAATAAGCTGAATGTCAAAATCTTCTTAACTGCCAAATACAAATGAACATTTAATTAGGCTGGTGAATATACAACAGCCTCATTATTTTTCAGGCTAGCACAAGGGATACAATCCAGAATTGCTCAACTGTATGCTCTTTCCCAGCTTTGTGAAGTCTCCGGGCAGGACTGCAGGCATCAGTAAGAATGGAGAAGGGAAAGGCAATAGAACAAAAAGCAGTTATTTGGGATTTGGATTAATTATAAAGTAATCACTGAAAAACGGGAAAAAAAATTATCAAAAGTTCATACTAAGATTATTTTATTAACTCAAGTTTACCAAGTGATCTTTACTTCCTTTGCCTTAGATTTTGAGAAATTCACTAAATTCTGTATCTTTAAATTTACACATAAAAATAGAGGAAAGTGTATGTAAATATCTTTAAAATTTACAGAATCACAAAATGGTTTGGGTTGGAAAGGATCTTAAAATCATCCAGTTCCAACCCCCTGCCATGGGCAGCGATGCCTCACTAAACTATGTCACCCAAGGCTCTGTCCACCCTGGCCTTGAACACTGCCGGGGTTGGAGCATTCACCACTTCTTTGGGCAACCTGTTCCAGGCCTCACCACCCTCACAGTGAAAAGCTTCTTCCTTATAGCCAATCTAAACTTCCCTTGTTTCAGTTTGAACCCATAAAGGAAAATATTTCATAAAATATGGTACTTGTAAGCAAACAAAAGAATTACAAGAAGGTATATGTTGAATTTCGTCAGGAATGAATTAAAAGTGACAATGTGAAAATACAGCATTTATTAATCCTGGTTAAAAAAATAGGAAAAGTAGCTTACACTTTTCATTTCAAAATAGTCCAAGTTCAATGGGGTACAGCTGGACTAATGTATCTTGGGCAGGTCACAGATACTGAACTTAACTTGACTGCTAGAAGTATATTTGATCATTTGTAATTTTGCAAAAGGAAGAATTTCAAAGGGAAAATATTCCAAAGGGAAATAATGCAAACTGAAGTATCATTTTATTATTCCATGACTTTAAAGAAGGAAAGTATTAAACACAAAGCTCATGAAAGATGTGAAAGCAGTTTCCCTGCTCTGCTTGGTTAGAATGCAATTAATTTGTAGAGGGCATACTTCTTTTCAGAACTCCAATTACATAAAGCTTCTTTACTACCAGAAACCTACATTATCAAAACCTCAACAAGAAAAACCTAACCTGTTGAAACTGCCCCTCGGAAACACCATCTCTGTAGAAGATGATACGAGTTGGTTTAAATCGAGTTGATTTGTAGAACTGAATAAGCAGCTCCCTGACCATGGCAGCCAAATCTTGGATGATTTCTTGGCGGTGCTGCTGGACCCGAACAGTGGCACAGTATCGGTTAGGATGAGCATCCATGCTTCCTACAACCTGTTGGAGAACATGCTTAGTATCAGACCCCTCAAAGCACTTTATTAAAGGTATTTCATGAGGTAAGTGCACTTGCTTTCTAACAGTATCTTGTAAACTAAGTGGTTGACCTAGCAAAGATGGAGTCGAATTCACACCCTGCAAGTCAGTTAAAACACAAATTGCTTGCCAATGGAAGGCTTTTAAAACAGTTATTTGTGTATTTAGCACCACAGATAACATACTGCACCAAACAGCTTCATTATTCAATAAGCCAGAGCAGGCACTACAGGTGTTTTAGCATCATGCAGTCAAAGGCCATTCCCCGGAGATTTTCATTCCCAGCATTTCCAAGAGATTACTGCACATTTTGTGGTATGAGGAAGCTTCAATCACCCAAAACTACAACTAAGCCAACCCAGCTCCCCAGCAGTAATGGATAAAGTCTTAACATTTTTAACTGCTGAATAAGCAGATTTAAACATGCACCAACTCATTACTGCTGCTGATAAATAGCAGCTAATAGAAAAGCTCCTCTATGTAGCAGCAGCCCAGGCATTTTACAAGCTACTATACACATGTAAGGAATTAGTAATGGAGCAAGTTCTCTGAAGTTTATTAGATCCCTGCAGAAAAGTCATTTATAACACTATAACTGGAGAGAAGAAATGGACCACAAAAGAATTGAAACCAATGAAATGCATTGGAGATGAACAGCAGGACAGAGCGGGGGTTAAAGATCATTACACAATTTACTCACTGCAGCAATGGAAGGCTTTTTTCCATCTCCAGCTGGAGGATGAGTTACATCTGCACCAAGGAATATGACGGGTTGTTGAAACACTGGTGGTCTGATCAAAGAGAAAGAAAACTTGGAAAAGCAGCAAAGCTTATGCTTAATAAAGCATATTATAAATAGGTAAATTGCACTTTATACCCTTGCAGTGAATTAGTGAACAATCTGCACATCCAAACTGGCCTTGGTATCATAGCTATTACTTTAAAAGTAGATTATCCTGAAGAAAACTATCCTTTCCCAAGGGAAGCTGTGGCTGCCCCATTCTTGCCAGTGTTCAAGGCCAGGCTGGACAGGGCTTGGAGCAACCTGCTCTAGTGGAGGGTGTCCCTGCCTGTGGCAGGGGACTGGAACTGGATGATCTTAAGGTCCCTTCCAATCCAATCCTATGATTCTATGAAGGCTTTAAGCAAACCTTTAAGATATCAATCACTGCACCAGGGGTAGAACACCAAAAGACTAGACTGGAAGTTTTAAATTTCAGCTCTTTAGCTTCTTAAACTTCAACTCTATTCCTTAATAAAATGATTTTAAACAAGAAATCTTAGGCCAGCAGAATCTGTGTATGTGGGTGTGTGGGGAATGGTGATGTACATTCAGCTGTTTTCAGACCTTCTCTAAAAAGGCATTTGAAGGTAATTATAGCACTGGAACTCACAATGCAATTATACAAATAAAAAGCTGTTCTGCTCCCGTCCCCTCTACCAACAGAAAATAACAGAGTTCTGGTTTAAATATCCCAATCCTGCATTTTTCCAGAATGCTCAGGTGTGGTGTGTAGTGGTGCCATTTTCCCCCCCTTAACTCCATTTTCACAAATGCAGTTCCTTGGTACAGTGAACAGAAATCACCTTTCTGGCCACATTATTGTTGTCAACCCACACCACTTAACAGAGGCCTTATGTTTATGAAAAAGGAGCATAGAACTACTTATATGATGTGTGTGTGCTTCTATTTTGTTTCCACAGCAATATCTTTAGCTCCTTTCTGAGAAACAAAACTAAAACCAAAGACCCAAACACCCCACTGTGCCTTTCTCTAATTCATGCTCTGTAATATAAGGATTTTATTTAACAGGAGCCTGCAGCAAGCACACAACCCAGGCTGAGTGTATTTAGCTCAAGAAACAGGATTTAACAAACAATATATATATCCCTTCTGATAACATGTTCTTCTTTTTCCTCCCTAAGTTCTTAATTTCACCTTCTGGCGAGCCTAAGTATATCGAAGTGAAACTTTGCTTATCTGGGCCAAACAGAACTCCGACTTCTTTAAAACAGGCTCCCAAGAAGGATGCAGCAGATCCTACCCTGAGCTCCCTCTACTTACTGAAATGCAATGATAGCAAAATGCCATCTTTTTACTGATGTAAAACCTAGTTGTTTGCTTTGATTCAAGTGACTTTCTATCTCTTTATGCACTGCTCCTCTATCCTGCATAGCCAAAAGCTGTTATCTTGCTTTCTTCCATTAGGATTTCTTGTCACTGATTTTTCAGTAAAGCTTTTAATTACTTTCAGTTTAAGAACATTTGATTTCAGACAAAGACTAAATCTGGTTTGTGTATCAACAGCAAGGTCCTTTCCTTTTTTACAAAAATATATATATTTCACTCCCACTCACCTCCATGCAGGACTTCAGTGACACATCAGATACACAATTCAGTAGTATCAAAGGAACTTCACGGAACATAGTAACAGTATAACTAGGACTTATCAATGTAATATTAAGAAACTGCAAGGTAAACTGGACCTGAAAACCAGTTAAAGAGTTTTCTGCTCCCAGCTTGTTTTTTTCAATGTCTATGTAAGTGAAGATATACAATAAAACAAAGAATCTTGACCACAAACTATAAGTAAAAGGCACTTCTATTCAAGACAGTCACCATTCGCTTCTGAAAACTCAAGGCAAGTAAAACATCACAAGCGTTCCATTCAAGTGGAAGCTGTACACTTCAATGGTCAGACTGAAATAACAACACTGTTACTACAGATGTCAACTGGAACACATATTCCTCTCCAGTCTCTGTAACCCAAGAGTCACATAAACTACAGTGCTATGGTAACAGATGAAGCACCTAGTTATCCTAGTACGACCTATGTTCTCCTTACACTACAATTCCCCCTTCCTCTCTGATAGCTGGCTTACCTTCCCTGTGGCAGTAGAATGTTATTCACACCTCCTAACTTGACATTGATTTTCAAGCAAAGGTTGGACAGAGTCTGTGGTGTTGTTCTTTGCACGTTTTTCATCTGGACACACTGCGTAGCCATTCCCAGCACGGTGTCACCAACACGCTTCACCTCCGCTGCAGAACAAATTACGACCAATAAATACTTGCATATGGCAAGACAAACAACACAAGAGACCTTCAGTGACAATGGACTACACACAGAGATTTAGCAAAGTGGTCTTTAAGCTTAAAGGAACATGGAGAAACATAACCCCCAAACCCAGCCTTCAATGTGTCCTGCTCCACTTGCCAACAGCACAGTCACTGGATCCTAAATATAATTAAAAGGCACCACTGGTTTGTTTTAACTATGATTTTTCTTTAAATGACACTAACTGTAATTTTAGAATAACAGTGGTTTATTATCAGTATGGAAAAGCCTTTGGCCAATGGAGCTGTAATGTGAAAAGTATGATGATGATAAGCACTTGTTTCATTCTTAAACACCAGACCAGTGACACAAACTTCATATTAATGTGCTAAGTAACATTCAGCCAACAGTTTATCAGTTCACCACTTGCAGAAGTGGCCACTTCACCAAAAGATGGCCCATAAAATCTCCAAAAGGAACTTATTAAGAACTGTATTGTTCAAAAGGTCAAAACAAATCCTATTGTTAACAACAAAAGTAAGGCTTAAAGGCTTTAAAAGAGCCATACTCAGAAGACATTCAGGCTCCAAGACAGGCTTAGAAAAGATGCAGCCCTTCCTCTGGCAACAGGAGATGGAAAGAGGCTTTCTGAGGAGCAGGGTGAGGCGAGGAGAAAATACAAGACTGTGGCTATAGGAAGAGCAAGAGCATGGGAGAATACAGGGAGAAAACAAAGAGAGATGATTAGAGGGGGCAGCAAGAACTGTAATTAAAGATAATGACAAGGAAAGCAGATGTGAGTGGTACCACATCCTCTTAGTGGTTAAGTAAAGAGTCCCCTTTTAATGCCAAGCAGGAAAAGTGAAAATGTCATTTTGCACTGAATTTCTATTGAACAAATTAGAGACGAGCCACTTGCTTTGCAAGGAAGCTTCCTTCTTAAATCTCTATTTTCATCTTAGATGAGATAATCTTGGGAGAAGAAAGTTAGGAAATTATTTTCTGTTGTATTAAATTTGCGAGGGATGGGATAAACCAAATCTGCAGCTGCTTGGTAGATCTGAGCCATTAGAGAAGAGATAGTCCATGAAGCTACAGAAGAAAATAGTGGATGGTGCTGCAACTGGGCAAGGTAAGTGAAAGGAGGAGGAAGGCAGGACAGGAAACCAACCAATCTTGCTATAGTAAAAGCTAGCTGAAAACCAAAATGCACTGTTTATCTAAATCATACTAAAACCTATGTGTATGCACTATGTAAAGTGTCAGTTTGCCTCCACAAAGACCAGCTGAAGTTGCTGAGTTCTCACCATCTGATCCTCACAACCCAAGAGTTAAAAAACTGAAATAGGAAAAGGAAGTGATTGGCACGAATCTTCTCTTTCAGTCAGCTTCTTCTGCCAAAGGGTGATGGCATGAGTAAGCACAGATTCTTGAGGTCATTACTTCTTCGATCACTTGGAATTTGAGCACACAAGTTATAGAAAATGTATTGTAATCCCCGACATATCAATCTAATCAATTTCACAAAAGCCCTCGTTTAGCTTTCTCCCTCATTGCATCTCAAATGCAGCCAACAGGAAGAATGTGGAAGAGCAAATTAAAAGCATAGACAAAACTAATGAAAAGAATTAAGGACTTCATATAAAACATCACACAGCACAAGGAGAATAAAAATCATTTATAGCCCATTCCCTAAATGGAATTGATGTAGTTAAAATACAATTAAACTTCTCTCATTGCTTCACCAAAGAGACACGAAGTTGTGTCTGAAACACACACACAGGACTTGCACTTACTGACCATAGACTGGTGTTTTTCCTGGCAAAATTACTACCACGAGCTGCAACCCAGTGTAAGTGTTCTTGAGGTGTCTGAACATGGGCTCCACACTGTCAGCTCCCTGGGCATATTTACAGAAGCACGGCTGCCCCTGGATTGGCATTCCTGCATCTCTGGAAATCTTCCTTAGTTGTTCTGTAAAGGACCTAAGGGATGGAAATGAACACACTTTATCCTCAGGTAGCAAAATTCACCTTGATTTTTGTTCTTATTTTTAATGGAACAGCCCTGTTGAACTTGCAGAGACGAGCTGTCCAAAAAGCTGGGAATTTCCTCCAGTGCATCTTTAAATTGATTATCCCTATGTAGTCCCTGAAGGAAAGACAGGGGAAGATGAGGAAATACAGAGTATAAATGACACTATTACTAAAAACTTCATTTCCAAAGCAAATTCCACCTTATTTGATCTTTCTGTGGGAGGTAAGCTACTTTCTGCCAAAACACTGCAATGATGATCCTTTGGATAGCCTGCTCTACCATACTTCCATGTGGTATCACCACTACCTGAATGTTGGGAGTTCCTCCTTTATTTTGTTGAGGAAACAACCAGCAGAAGTTACCAGCAATTGTGTCTCAGTGAACTGAACTAACATCAGTAATAATGCACAAGGAAACCTTGCTGGTTATCACAGAAAAGGTGTGCTCTGGACATTAAGATGAACCTTCTCCAAGGATGGTGCAAATATAAGTCATTCTCTGATGGAACTGGTCAGAACCAGAGACAACCTGATTTTCATAGACTCATGGAATGGTTTCTGTTGGAGGGGATACAGAGATCACTCAGTTCCAACCCCTGCCATGGGCAGGGACACCTACCACTAGACCAGGTTGCTCCAGGATGTCACTTTTAACATTCATGTATTTCATGGATGTTACATGGAATGTGTTTTAATGAATGAAAGAACTTGGTTTTCATGTTCCACCCAAAACAGATTAAACCAAATCTGGAAGTTTCATTCAACTACTCAAAGTCAACTGAACAACTAGTCCTACTCATCTTGCAAATGCAGCAACTTGCACATTACAGATACTCTAACAGGTAGAAGGTTGTGGACAACAGTCAGATTGCTTTTTAAAGCTTTCTTTTTAAGTAAGTTCTGCATGAATAAATCTATGCCATACAAGCCGGAAAAGAATCTAAGACAACACACGTGTTAGCTTTCACACTTGACAAATACTCCCTAATAAACACTTATAATTACATCCTTTCTCTAATCTTAAGGTATGCCCTAAGCCCTCACTGTCAGAAAACCTGCCACATAGTGTAAATCACTTTGGTAAGTCTGATATGGAGGATTTAATGATGATTAATTGATATCATAGTGGCATCATTCAAGGCAATGAGACAGAACTTCAGAAGCGCTGTTAAAGATTGACTGTCATCCATTAAACAATTTAACAGCACACATGTTCTAAGAAGTGAGATTATGGTATTTCCATACATAATAAATAAGAAAATCACGATCTTATGAAAAACACTTACTTAAGATGAACTTCAGTGCACTGGCGCTGGGGAGCAAAGCACGCGATTGCCCAAACCTTTATTTCAATTCCAGTGTGAAACTGTTTGTTCCTCATGTCCCAGACTCCTTGAACTGGTGTAGCAATTGCTTTATTCTGGAAGTGCAAGGAAAAAGAAAACTAAACACTAAGGCAAAAATTGATTCAAGCTAACATAAACCAGTCCTGCTTCTACTTTCCTCCACCTAGTAGGCAACTTCCATTCTGAAGTCTTTGTCTCCACTCCTCAAACATCTATCCTATCTTATAAAGTTCATTTTATCACTGTAGCAATCATTTTGCTGAAAAATAAAGCTCACATTGTTCATTTTTATTGCTGATGGTTTTATTTGGCTATATAAATCAGCAGCAGGTAGAAATTACATACAGATAGCAATCAGATTCACACTTGGTATGTAATGCTACTTCCACAGCGACTTTACAACCACTCAGTGAACCTTCCGGAGAGATTTAGTTTTATAAACCCTTTAAACATGACTAAGTAGAGGCAGTGGTTTCATGTCATTCACACAATCCCTATGGCAAAAAATGTGAACAAGCTCACAAAAGACGATCAGTTATTCAGCTTTGACCTGCACAACACTTTTCCTCTCTCCCATCAAGCAGACATTACTTTGATGGGTTATCTCGAGGACAAGGGATATACTGAGACAACTGAAGTAACTCTGGTGATGTTAGGTGCCTTACAAGGTAGGAGTATCCTGCAGATGTTTTAGACGAGCTCCCATGACGTCTGACTTCTCATTTAGCAGCAACAGCTAAAAGTTAGGGGTATTTTTCACGACACCCACACAAATTTCATAATTCATTTTGCAAAAGAGTTGTGTCTCTTGAAGACGTTACCTCCCCCATCATTTATTTCCATCATTCATCTGCCATTAAGCTCTTGTTCCCCTGCTGCCAGAATAGCTCATGAGAGCACTCTCTATAATGCGGATCATGCAAAGACTGCTGGGTTACCTTCACGCGTCAGTGAAGGAAGGTTTGAGCTAGTATGCCCAATTTTGTCTGAAGAGACTTAGGTAGAACACACGAGATCCTCTCCCACTGGCGGTTTATGGAGGTAACAGTCTCATTTGTGCATCATAGAATGGTTGGGTTGGAAAGGACCTTAAGATCATACAGCTCCAACCCCCTGCCATGGGCAGGGACGCCTCACACCTCACCCAAGGCTCTGTCCATCCTGGACTTGAACACTGCCAGGAATGGAGCATTTACCACTTCTTTGGGCACCCTGTGCCAGTGCCTCAACACCCTCACAATAAAGAACTTCTTCCTTATATCTAACCTGAACTTCCCTTATTTAAACCCATTGCCCCTTGTCCTATTGTTACAGTCCCTTACAGGTCCCCCTTTAGGGGGCCTATAAGGATGCTGGGGAGGGACTCCTTATTAGGGACTGTAGTGATAGAACAAGGGGTAATGGGTTAAAACTTAAACAGGGGAAGTTCAGACTGGATAAAAGGAAGTTCTTTACTGTGAGGGTGGTGAGGCACTGGAATGGGTTGCCCAGGGAAGTTGTGAATGCTCCATCCCTGGCAGTGTTCAAGGCCAGGTTGGACAGAGCCTTGGGTGACATGGTTTAGGTGAGGTGTCCCTGTCCATGGCAGGGGGGTTGGAACTGGATGATCTTAAGGTCCTTTCCAACCCCAAGTATTCTACAATTCTATGATAGAGTCCTTCTCTTGCATCCTTGTAGGCCCTCTCCAGATATGATCTAGAAGAGGTTCATCAGAGGCCTCCACAAATGATGCTATCCCAGCTATCAATATTTCATCTTGCATAAAACCAAGACATGTTTATAGAATTGATAGAAAATTGTGTTTCCCAACGTTTTTTTGAAGGATACCACAACAGCAAGATCATGTTGGAAAGGCCACCTCAAAAGCCACTGTAAAGAACAAAACCTGTGAGTAAATACTCCAACAGGAAGAGATGGCTCTAGAGGAAAACCTGCTGACAGAGAAGATACCTGAAGACAGTTGTCCTAAACACAGCTGCCACCCAGAACACACAAAACCAGTGAGAAGTTCAGAAGATCTCAGAGTTAAGAGAGGAATAGAAACAGAAGTAATTGAAGTTGTCTCTGTTCTCATACACATTGACCTGAATCATTACTCACAGGTTTCTTCTTGCAACACACAACAGAACAGTGTGTGAAGGAAAAATACACGTTTTCCTCTGAACTTTACCTTAAGGATTTTTAACCTTTCAGAAATAAAGAAGCAACTGAGGGAGATGCAAAATGGCCATTACATTTAAGGCCTTTCAAAGCTTACACTTAAATTCTAAACATTACAATTTTATATTCATTGTCTCATTACATTCAACATAATTAATTCGAACCACCATATTACAGAAGTTATCACAGATTGCAAACTATGTTTTCCACGTACCCTGCCTCCATAGAGGATGGAAGGAGGCTGTAGGACTCGACCAGTCACATCTGTCATTTCATCTTTGACCATGATTCCAAATTCACGAACATAAGGGTCAGTATTGAAACTCGCGCTCCGCATCTGAAATTACAAAGGAATTAGACATCTTTTGCACAAAAAGAAGTTCTTTTTATGATCTAAATCTGAGATAACCTGCATTTGGGCACATACCCTGATATATAGGTGATGCCGTGCATTCAGAACCTCTTGTTAACTCCACTTGGATACATGGATGCCTCAAAATTTGAAATAAAGCACCCGCAAAAGAACACTTAAAAAAATGTTTTGGGAGAACATATTTCTCTCATATTAATGGGCAAAGGATTATAAAAAAGAGCTTATAACCTGTGCATAGTGCCCAAACCATTCAGTATCTGCTAATGGCAATAAAATGAAGTCCATTACTGTGTTTCACTCATTTTCAATAGACCACTCACCAATTTGCTAATCTCTTCTTGACGGTCAGGCGCTGACCTGGCAGTTGCTCGAATCATAGTGGAAGTTTGATTGTCAGTGAGTTTCTTTATGCATCTTTGTCCTGCCACTATGTTGCACACCTGAAATATCCCCCCCACAAAGGAAGTTAGAAAGCACAGTGTAACAGGGGTTCGATTTGTTGTATTCTTTTCACTGCTGCACTAGAGAATTTGGAAAGTTGGCTAGTCAAAAATCAGCTTCTCAATACTTGAGCCCTTTTCCCTCAGACCCCCCATTCTCCCAATACCAGTATTAACCAGAACAATTAATGAGATTACTCTATAATGCAGATCATGCAAAGACTGCTGGGTTATCTTCACCTGTCAGTGAAAGAAGGTTTGAGCTAATATGCCTCTGACCCCCCCATTCTCCCAACATCAGTATTAACCAGAAGTATACTTGCCTCAAGAGGGAGGTATGTGTGCTTCTGCTCCTGTCCGACTTGTAAACATGGAAGGTGAGGATAGCGTAAAACTAATTTGTGCCTGTCCTTAAAATACTGAGCTACAGTGCATTCAACTGTTTGTCCATTCTCCTGCTGAAGTGGGAATCTGTTGGAAATCAAGTATTAAAATAAGACATTACTTCATGTAATTCCCAACACTTGTGCTGATAAATGTTATTAAGCAAATGAAGCTTACTGGAGATTAAACCTAATTTGTTGAAATCAGAGAATGGTTTGGGTTGGAAAGGACCTTAAGATCATCCAGTTCCAACCCCTTGCCATCGGCAGGGACACCTCATACTAAACCATGTCACCCAAGGCTCTCTCCAGCCTGGCCTTGAACTCTGCCAGGGATGGAGCATTCGCAACTTCCCTGGGCAACCCATTCCAGCACCTCACCACCCTCACAATAAAGAACTTCTTCCTTATATCTTAACCTGAATCTCCCCTGTTTGAGTTTGAACCCATTCCCCCTTCTCCTATCACTACAGTGTACTTCTAGAATTTAAGATTCCATCACTGCCACTACTGTGTCTTTTAACAGTACAACAGCAGGCTATTTCTCTAACATTCTTGATACCTAAAGCTATGAATTAAGTTTCCTTAGAGCCCTAGGAAAGAGCCCTTCGTGCCCTAGAGACAAAGATTAATGTTTCCTGCTTATCTGGCATATATGTAGTACTACATTTTATGATACGGCATGCACAGAAAACAGCAAATCTACTGTCAGAGTTGCAAAACCAATTCCTGCTTCAGAAATGCACCACTCTCTTTCTGTGCATCACAAATACTTCTGTATGCGCATGCCCATTTGCATATACATGCATCAAAGGGGCACACAAATACTGCTTTTTCATTGATAGCACAAAACAAAGCTCAGACAATTAAATACTTGATCTAGATATTGATCAGTTATTTCCTTATTACCCAGCTGTTATCCAACCCTAACCATTCCATGAGTGTATGATTAGCTTTGTTCCTTACTCCACTGGCTTAAAAACAGGAATAAATACCTCCATATACAAGTTACCTGCAAATCTCTGGTTAGTGATTGAAAAACAAACATTATTTCCAGAGGAAAAACCAATGGGTAATATCAAGATTAGAAAGCTTATCCCAGCTGACACTGCTTTTCTACTCAAAAGATCTGGAAAACATCAGGTTACCAACAGTGCAACCCTGTTCTTCCAACATTAAAAAAATCCATAAAGAAGTAAGAGTAATTAAAAACCCTCAAACACGAAAAAGCCAACTCCAAAGCACCACAGATTAAAACAAAGAGATTGGCTCAAACACCAAAGCATTTGTTCTAGAATAAAACTAGAACAAAACCAGCAGCAACACTGAGTAAGTACTCTGAGGTGTATTGTAAATATATTGACCAAAGAAAGCATCATTTCTCAACACAACTTTTCCTGTGTCAGTAAGGAACAGATACTTCTCTGTTTTTCCAGATACCACTCTACTTTTCCCCAGGCCAGATACTCTTCTGGCCTGAGATTGACCCTATGCTTACAAAGCAGCAAAATACTTTACGTTTGGTGACTTGCTGGACGTCTGGTGACATTGCACACTCTGTACTTTCTTTTCATCTGTCCACAGTGCGTTATCTCCACCTTCAGACCTAGACATTGGAAAACAGGTATCAACATCTCTTCAAACCCAAGGCGTTAGTCCCCCTGAACTGCGACACAAGACCACCTAAACTCTGCAGTAAAGCTGTCCACTATTTAGTACACTGGGCACCAAAGGGTATCCCAGACAGAGCTCAAAAACCTAATTTATAGCTTTAACATTCAAAGCCCCTGAGCTTCAGCTGAAGTTCAACAAAGAGGTTTAGAGACAAACAGGACAAAACTCCAAGGCTCCAAGAGCTCACAGACGAAGCAAAGTGCACTCTGTTAATCCCAACTCTGCACCTCTAAGGAAGTCCAGGATGGTGAAAGGACAAAAAGGGCACGCAACCTCCTTGAAGCATAGAGCTTGTTTATACTTTATGTCTAAACACACGGTGCCTGCGAGACCTCCAACTACTGCAACCGGCCCAGAACTAATGAGTCAGAAGGGGTGGAAATACCTATAGAGCCTCTAGGAGCCCAAGGGAATGAGGCCATGGGGCTTTACTCTTCATGAAGACAAACATCTGCTGCACATCCCACTGGCACAAAAGCCAAGCTCACCTGAAGGCAAATAACTTCCAGAGGAATAAATTATGCACCCCAAACCAGCACAACACAGCTCCCCATGAAGAAGTGTTTCCAATTTACCACTACCCACAAGTACAAACTTGAATGCAGTGCTTTCATTTATATTACTTTCATGCTCGGGCAGAAACAGATGTATGTGGACTGGATTAGAGACAGGAAGTTGCCATGTGTGGGAATAGGAAAGAGGGGACTGTAGATTGGAATTCCTTATACATCTGCACATGTATATAAACTCAGGCTGCTGCTGAATTTAGCCTATCTGCCACAGGCACTGATAACTTGCCAAAGAACGCATTAATCTCTTAGTGTAATTTGTTAGGGCTATGTCCTGGGTTCAGCAGTAGCAGTCATTTTTCTCCTTCTTAGTAGCTGGTGCGGTGCTGTGTTTTGACTTTCAGCCTGGGAACAGCGCTGATAACACCGATGGTTTTAGTTGCTGCTCAGTAATGTTTACTCTGACCAAGGACTTTGTGAGCCTCATGCTCTGCCAGGGAGGAGGGGAAGCCGGGAGGAAGCAGAGACAGGACACCTGACCCAAACTGACCAAAGGGGTATTCCAAACAACAGCACATCATGCCCAGTATATAAACTGAGGGGAGTTACCCAGAAGGGAGCGATCACTGCTCTGGTCAGGGTGGGTATAGGTCAGCAGGTGGTGAGCGGTTGTATTCTCTTCCCTTGTTATTTCCCTTATCATTATTATCATTGGTGGCAGCAGCAGCGGTTTGTGTTATACTTTAGTTACTGGACTGTTCTTATCCTAACCCATGGGAGTAGCATTCTTCCAGTTCTCCCCATCCCTTCGGGAGCAAGGGGGGGAGAAGGGGAGTGTGAGTAAGCAGCTGCGTGGTCTGAAACCTTCAATAACTTCATGTTTTTATTAATACCTCCAAATTCTGTAGCCCAGCATTTCATTAAAGGATAAACTGTGACCTCAGCTTACACTGAGCTGTGCTGCACATTGGAAATTGCTACTTCCACCTGAAGAATGGAAATCCTCATGGAAAAAACAGCAGCTGGCAATTCAGTGCCTGATTACTCTGGAAAACATTTATAACCTGTACAAACTCAGGATCTATTTATAGTTTTCTTGCTAATTTCTAATTGGGCAAACATGGTTTTGAGGACATTTTATGGCCACAAGGAAGCTGCAGGATAGAGTTAGAGCTTGGTTTTCTTTTTTAATGTCCTTTCTATCAAGCACACCATGAAGGAAAGACTTTGATTTCTCAGAAGAAACCTTCAGTGAACAAAAGCAGAAAGATTCTTTCCTCCTACTCTTTGATTCAGTCATTACGTATTAGAGTAACTTACTTTTAGAATTAACGTTACTATTAGCATAATTTACTTCCAGGAGAGCATATGTATGAAATACCTCGGTGTGCAAAACCACACTGCTAAATTACAGTTTCATTTAGAATATGAAAATCTTGGCATCAATAACTGGAAAAATCTAAGATCAGGTAATTTAAAAAAACAAACAAACCAAAGCTCACATAAAATCCAGGTCTTTATAAACGTTTTGATATCATCAGCTCAGGAACTGGAATGTCTTTATCACGGAACTGGGATTAGCACTTCCAAGTGATTTCAAAAGTGAAAAAATATGGATTTTGTTGTTGTTCTGTTTAGAGATAGAGGTACTTCATGAAGAGTAAAGCACTACAGTAAATACAGAATCATAGAATAGTTAGGGTTGGAAAGGACCTTAAGATCATCCAGTTCCAACCCCCTGCCATGGGCAGGGACACCTCACACTACACCATGTCACCCAAGGTTCTGTCCAACCTGGCCTTACAGTATTAATTTGGGAAGATCAGATGTTTTTAAGGAGATTGACATAATACAGGATGCTGTTCTCCATAGTGGAAGGATCTCACTATTATCTCTGCACTGAGCTGTTCTCCGATGCTAACACACGCCATTAACTTTGACATGACACTTCATCAAGTGGTGATGAGGCACAAAAATGTAATAAATGAAGGTATGTCAAGAGAACCTACACTTGAATGAGGGAAAGCTTACAAAAGTCACAAGCAAGCCAGTATCTAATCTCGTTAAAATAATCATCTGTCTGCTAGAAAGTTTAGTTCAGCCTATCATTTAGAGTAAAACATCATCTTAATGGTTGCATTAAAACACAGATTCTTGAATATGTGATAATTTACTTATGTGCATACCTAAGCCCTAAACATGGATGGTTCACTAAATAAATAAATATGCTTACTTTTTGCACTAGTGATGCATCAAACCTGAAGCCACATCCTTATCTGAACCGACTTGCCTTACATCCACAAAGTGGCAAACTACAGAGATTAACTAATGTAGTAGGAAAAAAGGACACGTAGACTGAAACATAACATTGATTGGTAGACTCCTGAAAGTCCCAAAGCACATGTAAGTAACAGAACAATTCCTGCCTCTTAGTTTTGCTCAAAAAGTGCATATGTTATGATAATCTGTCTCCCAGTAAGATGACCTCTACAGACTGCATTTGGAACTTGTAGTGGTAACACCAGATAGAACAAAGCAGTTTTATGTACTTTAATTATTACCTTTTATTTCTTTGGTAAACTTTACCCTTTGGGAATCTGTCAGAGGTTTTTGTTGTTCTTCAATACTTTTGAAGTCCAAAACTTCACACACAAACTCAATAACTGGCTGTGCTTTGTAAAATGCAGTTGCAGACACTGTAGACAAAAACATTAATGTTGTATTACAGCAATACTGAGGAAACTTTGAAGAAATCAAAGAAATGGAACTCAATTTTTGCCTTTCCAATGAAGGAGAAAGAAGGAAGAAGAAAAGGTTTCTGTAGAACCTACCATCAATATTTAACATCATTTTCCATAATGAAGGTCTGACTGACTGATGGAAGCCAAACCAAACTTCTCTGCCACCACCCAATGGATTGGAGCACCCTTCTGATGCTGTAAAAAAAGATCGCCCCACAGGAGTATATCTGCAACAGAGGGAAGAAATTCAGATCATAAAACTAAAGCAAGAAAAAGGTAATAAATCCATAACTAATACTAATTCCTATGCACAAAAGCACAGAAATGTCACTGTTTCAGATTACCAACAATCTGAGATTCCTGTCAGGACACTTCTTAAAATCCAGGTAAGTTACAGTAAGAAAATGACTACTACTCATAATTGTTTAAACCTATTTTCAGTATACTCCTTATTATGCCTACTAATTCAAACAAAGAGCAGTAGAAACATCTTTCGTACTCTTACTAAAAATTCAGCTACGCTTTTATTTGGTACTTACAAGAATCAGTTACGCTTTAGTGAGAAAATAATTAAACATCTCTGCTATTGAAGCAACACTCTCCCCTTACTTATGCACTGCTTCCTTCGAAATCTATGGAAAACAACTGATTTAACAGATATTTTGGATGCATCTTTCTCCATGGAAAATTCAGCACTGCACACTAAACATTAAACTAATCAAACCCAGAGCTAATAGCGTTCTCTGAACACAGATGTGTGACTAACAAATCTGGGCTGTTTTCTGTGTTACAAAACTTGACTAAATTGATTAGTTTAATCCCTAATGTGCAGATAAAGTCAATGTACTATAAGGCTATTTAAGGATCTTTACATAAATCTAACTCATTTTCCCTGTTTAGCCCTTCAAAATGGGAAAGTTCAGCCCTATTTTGTTCTTCACTTTCCAACTGAATGCAGTCTGAACAGCGGTCTTCAGCAACTTGTTTCATGGCAGCTGAATTAAACCCAGTATCTCTTGGGTTTGGCTGCAAATGCTGCAGATTCCACTTGCTTGGAAAGAAAAAAAAAACAGTTATTTTCCTTTCTATAGAAAGAGCTATAGTGAGTGACATTAATGTTCCCCTATAGCACAGTGTCCTTTATACAAAACCTGCAGTAACATCTGCCCAAGGACACACAGAACAGGGTAACAAGTTTTAAGGCCACCCTCACACATCCACCAATCTCCAACCACTTTCTGCTCAGGGAAGGCTTCCCTCTCTGAGGTGTACAAAGAAGTGGGTATGAGTGAGATGGCAGGGCACCCCTCACCTGAGAGCACACAGACTGAACACCAGTGGGGAAAGTGCTTTGTGTCCAAGGCTGGAGGTTGCTACTTCCACTGAATGAGCAGAAAATCACTGCACTGCCTCTTGCCTGAGCATGCCATCTGCTAGACAGCTATTGTTTTGGTTGAGCTATGAAAGCAAATCCTACCCAAAAAGCCACTAAAGCAATTCAAATAACAAACCCACCACCTAAGCAAAATCAAGGTCTTCTCCTCACCTCATGGAAGGCAAGTGCCTCATGACTACATCCAGTGCCTGGATGGTTTCAAATGGGACACCCGGCAGCCGACCAGAAAGAGCATCATGTAACGCCTGCAAACTCACACAGGACATCCACTTTATGGCCACCTTAAATATTCTGTCCTTTCCTTCTCCTGGCAGCGTGACCTCCAGCTCCACCTGCAACAATGCCAAACAACAAACCAAGATGATTCTTTCCATTTAAAGGGGGAAAGGGAAGAGACGATGGATTCCTCTAAACAGTGCTATAAGGAATAGACAAAAAGCAATGATGAAGAAACAACATACATCAGGTACAGCCTCTTTTTACAGCCAGATCTTTCCAAAGGTGTATTTCAGAGAGTTGGCATGCTTCCCAGCTGGCATCTACCTTCTCCTTTGAGTCAACATTATAATTTGGAAGTGCTTGTATATCAACTGGGAGGTCTCTGTGAAGATCCTAACACATTGATTTCAGATACCTAACACACTGCAATGCATCACCGCTCAAGTCAGCTCCTGTACGTCTGAAGTAAAAGATGGCCTGTCACTTCCTGCCAGGATTCATGTATTTCTGGTATTCACTCTCCAGAGCACCAGAGGGCTTTAAATACTATCACTGTAGACATGGTTCAAACAGGAGAAAACACAATTCAACAGCACCTTTCAAAGAGAAAAATGCCAAATACCACGCCCCAAACAAAACAAACCCCCCACAAAACCCATCAACTCCAAACCCTCTCATTTTGAAGTACCAAAGGAAGAATAAACGATGGCCCCAAAGTAGCAGCGATGCAGTGATGCTATCACGCAGCAAACAGCGGCACTCCTTTGACATGTCAAGCCCTACTTAGAATTTTGTGTCTAAAAACCACTGGCAAACTACATGTTGGTAAAATACTTCAGCCACTGACTTGTAATTAGTTGTAATGCTCATTTCTCCTCTTTATTAAAACAAAGAAAGCTTGAGCACCACCAAGCTCTTAAACTGACTAAAATTAAGGCTTGTCTGAAGCGATGAGCAGTGCTGGGAGTGACTACAAGTAATAACAAGATCACAGTATCCTTTGTGCTGGATATAAATAAAACCAGTGTATTTTCCTGTCCTAGGGAGCTCACAATTTACATATAGAAGGCATCCACTTAACAGACAAACTGTAATTAGTGGGCTAGCAAATATAATACATGGGTAACAGCAAGCTAATATATGCAATCAGCTGGTGTTCGGTGACAGCTTCCCCAGTCAAACAACAGGAAGGAAAGATGAAACACAAATAACAAGCGTTCCTGTATGCAAAAAGACGAGTTCACAGTTTAGAGTGGGCACACAAAATTAGTATTACAGTCACATCCCTCCTCCTGTACAAACACCATTCACCAGGAGACTTGAGCAGAGGAAGGAGCTGTATGGCTGTGGGAAGGCAATGGGAACTGGAGGCTCTAATTGTGGGGTCACTGGTCTCAATCTGGCCCAGAAGGTTGACTCTGCAGGAAAGCTGTGCAAATAAAGGTACAGGTTTTCAGCTGGCAAAGGTTGGAAGCCTTCTGTGAAGCATTCATTTCCAACCACACCATCAAAAGATCTTCAACTTGCATCTTATTTAGAGCAGATGGAAGACATCTGTCACACCTGAACTGCATTTTCTTCTGAACTGCTCTCCTCCTCCAAATCAAGTTTCATATTTTCTGCTACTCCTGATACTGTTAATGCAAAACTGCTCTGATTATTAACAGCTTTGGTACCCTTAATATAAAAAAAAAAAAAAAAAGGATTTATTTCCCCCCCTCCTGGTTTCAATTTACAGAACTCCTTCATTGCAATGGCATGAAAAAAGATGTAGAACAGGACTACTTGTGGTGCTGTATCCAGGTCCCTGGAGGAAATAAAAGACCCAAGACTGGAGGATTTCTATTCCAGTTCCTAGAATGAAAATACTGCTTAAAAACTAAGAAAATATTCTGTTACTATTTACATATTCCAGATTTGTTTCTGAAGGTCTAAAGAAATGAAGGAATTAAAGACTGAAAATAAGGTATGATACGGAAGGAATGAAAACAGAGATGATAACCATGAAGGCCAGGCAAAGAATATGTAATAGAAGTTGTAAAAGAAGCAGGGTTGTAAGCAAGGACAAAAGAACCAAACTAACCCCAGAACTGCCACTACTGACAAGAGATGAGGACAAAGTCCATTAATTAAGTTAAAGAGCAACAGGAGGGAAACATGTTGGCAATCTGGTGTCAGCATTCTGTTTAGCATCAGTTCTTCCACTAACCATGTACACTGTAAGTAAATCAAGGTCTTCGTCCACTGACATTAAGGATCATCTATTAATCACTGTAGCTTCACGAATCTTTTCAATAGGAACCTAAATATAATCAGATGTGAGGCAAACTTGCTACATTTGTTATGTACGGAACAGCCAGAAAACCCCATCAACAAAACTTAATCTAATTGTGCCAGAGGAAAGTCCTAATGCCTACAAGCTTTATACTGGTTTAAATCATGCTTAAACCAATTTAAGCACCATTTAAAAAATTCCCTCATTAAGCTACATTTCCCCACATCCTATTTAAACCAGCTGAAGATCTACCTCCATTATACCTCAATATATGCATCCTGGGCTGCATCAAAAGGAGCGTGACCAGCAGGTCGAAGGAGGTGATCCTGCCCCTTTACTCTGCTCTCGTGAGACCTCACCTGGAGTACTGCGTGCAGTTCTGGTGTCATCAACATAAAAAGGACATGGAACTGTTGGAACAAGTCCAGAGGAGGCCACAAGAATGATCAGGGGACTGGAGCACCTCCTGTATGGAGACAGGCTGAGAAAGTTGGGACTGTTCAGCCTGGAGAAGAGAAGGCTGCGTGGAGACCTCAGAGCAGCTTCCAGTATCTGAAGGGGGCCTATAGGGATGCTGGGGAGGGACTCTTCATTAGGGACTGTAGTGACAGGACAAGAGGTAACGGGTTAAAACTCAAACAGGGGAAAGTTCAAGTTGGAGATAAGGAAGAAGTTCTTCACTGTGAGGGTGGTGAGGCACTGGAATGGGTTGCCCAGGGAAGCTGTGAATGCTCCATCCCTGGCAGTGTTCAAGGCCAGGTTGGACAGACGCTGAGTGAGATGGTTTAGTGTGAGGTGTCCCTGCCCATGGCAGTGGGTTGGAACTGGATGATCTTAAGGTCCTTTCCAACCCTTACTATTCTATGATTCTATAACTATTCTAAATGATCATCTCTTTGGCTGGATAATTCTGTCCCACCGAAAACAGTGAACAGAATCATTCAAGTCAGCCTCTTCCCAGGTACAAGCTACCTCGCACCATTCATTTGCACAGACACAAAGGTACTGGGCATCAAAAGGATTTCATGCTGACACACTGTCATTCGACTTCCTTTTGACCATGTATGATTTAGTAGATCTGGGCTTTAAAATCCAAAGCATTCAAGAATCAAGTCCCGTTTGATCAGCAACATTCAGGCACAGAAGAAACAGGAGAAGAAGGTATCTTATGCAGTTCCTAATCAGAGTAGGGTCACACTTTCATCAGATCAAAGGATTATTTTGATCTCAGTTTGTTTATCCTCCATAAACCATTCTTCTATTTGCCTTCACTGATTTAATGCAGAGCTTCCAACCTCTTGTAAAATATATGGGTAGTCAACCACAACTTGGAAAGTATTACAGTTATAAGGTTATTGTGTGCATCCAGAGAACTCACGTAAACCCTTAGGAGACATCAAGTATCATTACACCTTTGACAAACACTTCGCAATTTTACGTGGCAGATCTGTAGGAACTGGAATACAGTATGTGGAAGTGTGGGGGGGGAATAATCTCTAATACTTTTAATGATTCCTTTAGAGTTTTCCCAGATGTCACCTTACTGGTTAATGAAAAATAACGAAGACTGGAATAGAGACTGACCTTTACTGCACGACATTTACTTAAATATATTTGGGGAAAATTAAATTTACACATACGAGATCAAGACCTTGATACAGGTAGAACTATGTCAAGCACTGCACAGGGATACAACATGAGACAGCAAAAGATAGCAAGAGCTACTTTATAGCACACTGCTACTGTATTTTGGGCGACCTAAGCTCTTTTCACAGTTTTAATCACATAAGCAAGTTTCCACACTGCTATTTACCTTTCTCTCTTTAGTTTTTGCTACCTACGTGGCAGTCACATTCTATGGAACCATATGGATCCATTCCCAAAAACGGGAATTACTGTGCTACAAACATGTAACAAGGAGGACTATCCTCAAGCGTTCATGTAAATAAACAAGGCCACAGAAAACCTAATCTGATATTAGACCACAGATGTGCAGGCTTAATTATTTTATAGGGTTTGTGTGTCAGCACGTTCCAACACAGCCTCTTCTACTTCACCAGTCAATGGGCACAGATAGGGGTACACTTCGCTGCTACAACCAGAGTGACCAGAGAGGCCACTGCCCCACCTACAGAGCTGGGAAACAGAACACACGAGCCCTCTTCAACTGCCTCAGGGCTAAGCTAGCAGGTCTCGACTTGTGCAGTTTAAATTAATGCGGCTTTCACATCGTAAAGGATTAGGGAAGAGGTTCCATAGAGGCAATGATGGGATGGAGGAGTTTCTCCGAGCTAGTGGAGAGCAAGAATCAGCTTACAGTGGGCTTTGATGAGATTAAGGAGCTGACACAACAGCTTCTGCTCCTCTCTCCCAAACCCAACCGTGCTTTCACTTTCTCTGCAGTGCCAGTACGGAGCCTGTCCGCTGCCTTGGGCAGTTGATCCAGCTCACCAAACCAGGAGAAACCATGCAAGTGAGAAGAAAGAGAGGCAGGAAAGAAGGATATGGAAGGGGGAATGACTGCCTTTGACTGCAGCAAGCTCACGCTTCCTGTCCTGGCAAACCACACTCTTGAGCAAAGCAGCAGCAGCAGGATAGGTCTATTCCAGACACAGAAAATCAGTTTTTATCAGTTGTTAGAAAGGCTCTGCAAATATTACCTTAAAATCTCCAATTGGAAACTTTTCTATTTAAAACTTACTTTATCTCTCCCAATGGGAAGCGGCATAGCAGTATAAAGGTTTTTTCTTCCATCAAACACTGGTTTGCGATCCCCAAAAATCTGGGTTTTAAAGTGCTGAACCATATGCTCCACTATTTCTCTGAAAATACAAAAAGAAAACGTTAATTCAGCTTTTGACTTCTAACGTTAAGCAGCAGATGAACACTAACACTAATATTTATTAATAGACGCATTAGGTAAATGAAAGGGCTGTCCACTGCGGGGTATTAAGGCAAGATTTGTTTGACTGATCTGAATCAAAGCAACCTTTTCACAGACTAAACTGTTTTCTTAAAGCAACTATTTTTAGCTGTTTCAGATTGAAACTTTCCTTCCTCTTTTTTGTGATCTACTGAAAGTGGTAAAGCGAAAGCTTGTGCTCTCTCAAACTCAAAATGAGGTGCTTGGTATTCTCCTGGGGCTCCTGCTCCCCATCTTACAGCCCTTTCTGCAGAGGATCATGGACCAAAAGCTCAGCAGCTGGAGAAGCTTTCAAATCCAAGCTTACAGCCTTAAGTGTAAGGATGATAATTCTATGATGAGTGATACGCAAACTTTTTGTGTTGCGCTGAGAAAGCTCACTTTTAAATGCAGTGTTTTCATGTAAGCAGCAAAACCGGGCTCCATCCAACAAAACTGGCTATGTGCAGTCACTGGGACCTGTGCATATTAAAAATACGCATTCATTTAAGCGTAGTGGAATTAGGTTGTGTGCTTGTATGAATGAGGTAACCACTCACAAAGTCATTGTGAAACCACAGTGTTTACACACTGGTCATGCAAAGCAGTTCACCGGCTGATGAGAGGGCTGTTGGTGAAACAACACCCTTTGATGCCAAAGGTTCTTGGTCACAATGTCCCAGAGAGACATCCTTCAGGCTGTAAAATCTGAAAGCCATCAGCAGTCTGCAAAATGCTGCCTACAAGATCCTTAACGCACAGCTTGGGGCAAAAGGGCATTAAGTGGTTAAAGTGACACAGAAAGGAAACCACTGTTAGCTCAGTGCTGCTGTCAAACAGCAGCTCAGAGATGCTGCAGGTGACTATTTCATATGCCCTGAGTCGGAAAGGTCATTAACCCAGCACCCAGTCAGACATTACAGCAAAACTCCGAGATGAAACGCTGAATTCAGTCAAGAAAAGAAGGAAGACTGTTTTGACAATTTCTCTGCTGTGTCCCAAGGCTTTAACACAAGATGTGACCGCTGAAAGAAACCTGTCTGACCTCCAGAGAAGTACGAGTAAAACCTGACCCAGTAATACCTGCCTCAGGTCTGCAAAGTCTGACGGAACAAGTATCTAAACTGGAGGGTGGGAGGAAGGAGGTATTTTTCGAGCTTGAGTTAAGGATTGAGCAATGGAAAACCCATTCTCTCACTGAGCAAGTTCTTCCGATTGTGAACTACTTCATATAAAAATTAACACTTCTGCTTAAGCTTTTCAAGCTTTAAACCACATTCAGCAATGATGGTTTTCTCACCTGTGGGTGGAGAAAGCATAATAAAAACTAAGTTATTTTCTCTCTGTGAAGATGGCTTTACCAATTCACTAACTTCAGCCCTTTGGGACTTACTATTCTACTGAGATCATGCAAACACAGCAAGAACCTGGGGCCAGCGACTGCAGAGTTCATCTTGAACCTTGGATGAGTCCTCACTGTCCTCCTGAATTAAACCAAGGGCATCCACAGGGCAGAACCAAACTGACACTGCCCACTCTATCTAACTATGCAAATAGATGTGGCCTCTCTGCAAGACAAGAACTGTCGCCAGACTGTATTAATCTGGCATAACACCATGTTGTCTCAGCCGTGTTTTCCAGTCCTGCTCCAGCTCCTGTCTCATCAGTGAGGAGCTTCCATGTACACAACCCTGCAGCAGGTCTGCAGGGCCATAGTCCAAGCTGTAGTAAGTTATAGAATAAAACTGAAGGACAAAGCTGGGACAGATGAGAGAGCAGTGTAAATGAACATAAAATCTCCCTCTATCATTTCTAGAGGCTACAACATATAAAGTAACGACAAGAACTATTTACTATAAATATACATCTGAATTATATAACCAAAAATACTAGAAAAACATAAGCCAGATGAATAAATAGAATTTAGAAATGCATTGCATGTGCATCCTGCATAATCCTATATACATACGTATGAGTACACATAAAAATACAGGTATCCATGTAGGACTGAAAGATCACAGCTCACAAACACAGGCGCAGGTGAGTACACATACATCTACAGGACACACAGGCATAAGCACTTAAAAGAAATAAAACATACACTTCATTAAGTGAATCCAATTTGTATTCTTCCCACACTGCACTGAGAAATATGCACCATACCACTGACAAATGCATTTATGACATCTCTGTCTACTGCAAAAGGCATTTAATATATGTAGATTTATACTTGCTCCTGTTACCACAACAGAGGGAGTGATTAACCTGACAAAGCAGAGCAGGTCAGAAGCTGTCAGCTGAGAAAGAACTTGCTACTGAATATAATCTGCCTCTTCAGTGAGAAAAAATGC